ACCTTGATTATGACGAATGGGCACCTAAGCTTTTTAGGATAAAGACTATTCCGCCCCCCACGTTTCAATTCATGCCATTGTGGTCCGACAGTATGGAAGCCCGATTCCTCGACGCAGAAGCTGACTTCGGCGAGCATGGCGTGACAGACCCACGTGCACAATTCCTCCCTGTGACGAAGGCACTACCGCGTGATTTCAACAGATACGTCACACCTAATAAGCTTACTAGTGGTGTTTCGGAATTTTACGAAACTTTGAAGAATGCTATTCTTAAACGTGGAAACTTAACCGAGAGACAAATGTTAGATCAAACTTTCCACAATATCGAGCTGCAACATAACTCAGCAACATATATGTTGCTACGTATTCGAGAGGTCATTGATCAACGGGCCCTGAAAATCCTAACTACCGACTGAATGGACCGGTTTTCAACCAACTGTCACCTAATGGAAAACCGACTACTTCATGTGATAAGCTATATAATCATCTTGATGTGAGTTTACAAAAATCCATCCGCTTGATCTTCGTTATTGCGTGTGTTTGTATGCTAATCACTGGTATGGGCCTGTTACAACACCATACTCTATCTATTGACATGCCCAAACATAGATTAGTAGATGGAAACACTAATTTATGTGTTCATGTAACTTCATTTTTTAATTACAGATTGTCCTCTGTTACTGCCAAGCACATAATCGATCCATACAATCAACGGATACTCGACAAGTACTTCAATCTGTACAAAACCGTAGACGCCAAACCTTGAAACCAACAGGCTGAATTCAGTGAGAATCGGTCGCGCACAAACCAAAGTGCATCAATACAGACCGTTGTTTAACGGCCAATCCAATGAAACACACCACTTTACATAACCTAAGATGACTATGAGGAGGCATTTGATAGCGTGGACAGGATAACTTCATGAAACCTTCTTCGGCACTATGGTATAACTGGCAAGACCATAAACATGATTTGGAGTTCATACGACGGTCTGCAACACAGAGACGTGCATGAAAGACATCTGACATGCGTTCCAATAGCAGACCGGTGTTAGACAAGGTTGCTTACTCTTGATATAAATTCACGATATTATTTAAATAGGGTTACTGCTTGCGTAAGCCACTGTTGCGTTTACTAAATATCGCATAAGTTTTTAGTCCCAAATATGGGTACCGTATCAAGCGACTTTGGGAAATATTCCGTATACTTAATGAGTGGGTGCCGGCTATAAGAGACTTTTCACTGAGAATTTTGTTTTGAGCTCTACCCATTTCATTTTGTTTGATTTTGCAGCAGCCAGTGTGCTATAATGTTAAGTTCATGAAAAACACATGTAGATAGTTTCAAACCATTAAAGTTAGGCGATTGAAAATTATGCTCATATATGCACAACTCACCCGCTAAATAGGCAAAATTAGGTGTCAAAGCCGCTAGGTATTAGACTTACTGTACAATTAAAAACAGATGGTTAACTTGTCGTAAAGTAATGAAAGTACTGGTTGATGAACAGTTAAGGGAACAAATGGATGAAAACATCCGTGGAACCCAAAACGAATTTCGTAAAGGCAGGTCATGTGCACCCAACCTCATGGCATGGGACAACTAAATAACCTATTGAGATCAAAAGACAACGGCCTATGTAATATTCCTTAACTGCATAAGAGGCTTTGACTCAGTAGTTCACAAACTTTCGACAGGGAAGATTGCAGAAATAGGCTCCTTTGAACTTTTATTTAGATTTCTAAACTACCTAGCGAGCAGGATGTATCATATCAAGCCATGCATTCTGATGGGTCCCGATATCAAGAGTTCCACAGCGGACAATCATGGGTCCATTCTTATTCCTGATCATTAACGATGACTTTCTAAATGAAACTAAGTCCATGAAACTAATCCATGAAAACGACGCAAAAAGCTTGATATTTATGAAAGGTGAAAAAGGATTCACATGAGCTTCAAAGGGACCTTCTAACAATTGAGATATAGGAAGTAGACAGTGAGATAAAAAAAACCGACCTATGAAAATGCTATATCATGAACATTTTGCCCTATTTGACACGTAAACCTTAAACCCAGCAATGAAATCACCTCATGACTGCTTACTTACTTACTTCAGATTGATGCCTACAGTTCAAATTACATTTGTGATACATCCAAGACAAACGCAATTTTTGACGTAATCGATCCATACAATCAACGGATACTCGACAAGTACTTTAATCTGTACAAAACGTGACCAAAACTGCCATGTGTAACCAACAATGTTGCACACCACAACATGACTACAGGAATACTTGAGTTTTCGGAAGTGCGCCGACTAGTTCCGAAATAGCTAATGCTGGCCAAAAACAAATTCCAGTACATAATAGACTTGGGAATTATCTGGCCATCGAACAGCCCAAGAGCATCTCCTTGCACATGTTTCACAAAAAGGACTGTAATAGTTGTCGTCCAACTGCAGATTATCAGTGACTGAATACGTAAACCACCCCTGATCATTACCCGTTGCTACACATTCACCAACGGACAGCTATCTTAAAAGGTACAAATGTTTTTTCTGAAAAATTGATCCGGTTGGAGCACATAACCAAATTTCCATGTCTGCTGACGACGTTCGTGAGACCTCCTTCATCACCTTCTCCGAACTTTATGGATCTTGATGCAAGCCCTTCGGTTTAAGGAAGGCTTCATAAACTTTTCAGAAATACAAAGATGACGGTTTTAGAAGTTTCAATGTTATGTCCACTTATGTGAGTCACTGCTCAACCGTAAGTTTGGACAGAGAGTCTCATATTCAGCATCCGTACTTTGTTTTTGAACGATTGCAAAAACGCGGCATTGATGAAAACATTTAGAAATGTCGAACTGGAGCCAGCTTTCTAAGTTTTCTCTGACACACTATTGATGCTTACGGTATCCGCACTCTGAAGAGCTAAGTGACGGCCATTTTGGATTACCCAGAACCAACCACAGTCAAACAAGTATGTACATTCAACGGCCTAGTAAATTTCTGTCGACGATTCGTACTGAATTGCGCGTCTCTCATCAGACTTAAAACCGACCAACTTCGTGAAAATGAGGAGCCCATCAATTTGTACGACATTGCTCAAAAAGGATTCCCCACAGTTAAGGAACTTACCGCCAAAGCAACATTGCTCGCACACCAGGACACGGAAGCAACCAGTAGTATCGCAGCAGACACATCCAACTCGGTAATCGAAGGAGTCTTAAAACAAGGGGTAATCACACTTGGCAAACCTTCTCAAGACGGTTGCAAGACAACGAATGAAGTTATAGCACATTCGTTAGGGAACTCCTAGTCATGTATTGTACTGTACGGCACTTTGACCACTCTGTAAGATGATAGGAATTCACTCTTCTCACCGATAACAAACCTCTTCGCTTCTCTGTATGCTCATCCTTAGACAAGCACTCCCCTCGAGACTCTCGACAACTGGACTACACTGAGCAGTTTACTTCAAAAACACAACATATTTCTCAGGCAAACAATGTGGTTTTGGGCGCATTGTCCCGTGAGATTTCTTTGAACGGTTTCTAAGGGATCGACCTTCTCTAGCTCGTCCAGCTTCAAGAAGAAGACATAGTAGTGGCATCAATCCTAACCACCGCATACAAAACACTACACAACACCTTGCATCATAGCGATTCTTTCTGTATTGTGTCGGAAAATGAAACAAACTACTTTTAATGTGCTCATATATATTTGTTATTTTTATTCCAAAAAAAACATTTTGTTGTCGTTGCGAATATGCTTGCTTTTATGTGTCTATTTTTACTTTTTCAAAAACACCCTCAAAAAGAATGTTCTGCTAAAATCGTTTTCACTCCATTGCATGTTTGCGAAACGCATATATGTGAGTTTATTTCTCTCTTTGCCTGTTTTGTGTCTTTGCACACATACGGGTGTAATTTGACATTCAATTACATATACCTTCATATTATGGAAAGGGCAATGATTCAACGAAGTTTACGATGAGTTGCAGTTTTCATCGTACCCATTTTCCATGATTATACGGTACCACATGGCCCCTTATAGCAAGGAAGGACGATCGGACGCTGCTGGACATAACAAGCTATCAGATAAATGTTACCAACGACTATTACGTTGGGTTTAATCTTATGACTGGTTAAGTCTTAGGGTCACCACTTCTCCACTAGAAAGGGAGTGAGCTACAGTAGTAAATAAATCCCCAGAGTCATTGTTTCTGTAGTTCTTTGTTAATAGATGCTGACCGTATTAGTTTTAATGGAATCACCTAGCACAAGGCTCTCGGTCACGCATCCGCACCAGATCACGAGTGAGTACGCTGAGCCCCATATATTCTACAACCGCTAGCCAGCTTAGATTATTCACTACTAGGTATATCGATATTCTGTCAAATATATCTTCGAACCTCTTCGCTTCTGACTTCTGGTTTGACTCGGTTGATAAGCTTTGTTCATATAGATGTTATGTTTAAAGGCGTTGTCAAACTCCGAACACCTGTGGCATCTCTAGTATTAAGACACTGTGGTGAGCCTCACAAGTCAAGAAGAAATAACTTGTCTACTGGCGGTCGAATTTTCCGTTGAGTCATCAATGAATGGAACTAATTGCCACAACATATTACTGAAGCTCCTGATGATGGTACAGGTATTCAGTGTTTGACAACGCTTTTACCAGCAACACCTAATATAATTCATACTCACCAAGAGAAACCAAAAGACAGAGTCGAGGAGATCGGAAGAGTGTATTTGGCGATTACCAATATATCGGAATTATCTGATCTAATCTGGCTAGCGATTGCGGTGGATGCTGAGCACAGCGTTACCACACGTGATCTGGTACGGATGCATGACCGAGCGCCTTCAGATAGATGAGTCCACTAAAACTTATCTGGTCAGCATCCAATGTCGAAAACTGACAGAGCTATTTATTTTGGGGATTTAATTACCACTACACTCCGTTTGTAAACACATTCAGATCAAGAAAGAAATAATATAGAAGTTTGAGTTTCAAATCCGATCTTCAGTATAAAATTTGGCCCTACGGGTAGAAACCACACTCTGCATGAATGACAAACGCACAAAAAATATTCAGCACTATGCAAATTGAACATTGTAGGGCTGATATACAACCTCATGGTATTTACCGTCACATGCTTGCATTTGGCAGAAAAATTAAAGTGACAGTTAGACTCAGTATCTCGACTGTATGGAGGTCATTTGCCCGCATTGTATTGTTCATCAGTTGTACATCGTCTTTGGTTTCAGCTTGCTTTCAAAGTAATAATGCCTATGAGTATCTTTGTCAAAACACTAACGGGTTTGTCTTTTGAACTGCACGTTTCCCCTACTGAAACTATCACATCAGTCAAATCTAAAATTCAAAGGACTGAAGGTAAGTATACTAATTTCTGCATCTGTTTGTTCTGTGCGATAACTTTTGTGCGCATATCTACTCAATCTGTTCGCGTCGGTTTTTGGGTTTGTTTAGTGGTTATTTCATAGTATACTGTACCTTACGGACCAGCGTTTTCCACCATATAAACGGACCAGAATTTCGTGACTTGCCATTTCTGTTCCTCTGGATGGTTATCAGTGATGATCTGCGCACATCACTCGTTTTGATGTTCCAGTTCCTTCTATAACCCCAGTCTATTCTACCGAATGTTAGTGATGTCACCCAACATCTACAGGGTGTCTTTACTGTAGATTGCTGTCACTTAAAGTACGTCTACATGCATCAATAATACTCCAAAGAGCAGTTTGATCCAAATCTTTTTCCACAGTGAAAAAGTTCCCATGTATTAAATACCTTAGTGACAAAGTTTACTATACACCTTGACGAATTGGTTTGTTGCTTCGGTACTGGTACAAATCTCTGAAGTCGCTGACAAGTGGACTGAGCCATGTCGGTAGCTGCAGATTACGTGGTTGTGGATTGCGAGATGATAGGAGCCGATGGTTAGAAACCCTGAATGACATGGCTCAAAATCGTTTGCAATGGCGCAGATGCATCCACTGTGTTCTCTCAAATTCTAATCTTCTGAATTCTTCCTGTCCTTTTTTCTCTTTCCAACCCGACCGTTGTTGCTACCTTGACGTGGTGGTCGGGCTTTGCTGTCGTGATGAACCAATCGAACTATACTGGCCGGAATAATCACTCCTCATGGTCCTACTGTGCCAGACAGGTCGGCTGAAGAACGGTAAGACTAAAAGCAGCAAGGTCCGATAGCGAAGTCGTACTGCTGACTGTGCAGGTGTGATGGCAGTAAGGTATTTCCTTCAGAGAACCCGCATAACAGCAATGCTGCCTTCCCACAAGGAGGGATGGGGTTATAAAAGGCCCACCCTAAAATGCACACCTTGCCTTATCCCACGGATATCCGTCTCCGGCGGTAAGGTCTCAACCAGTACGAAGCTGACACGAAAGTCACTTACAAAAACGTCGTGTGTGACCGACCACAAGCAGTTGTCCCTTGAGCACTGCGGTCAAGCGCTCAGATCACTAAGACCACCTTTAATCCAATTTCCTTTTCAGGTACCTCTAGAAGAACCCTTCCACGGTATAGGCAACCGGAAAGTGATAACCGCCCTCATACCTCTAACAGCACTCAAGATCACTGACTTACTGACGTACGAAGTTCTACGTTTTTATTGACCCAGTACTGGTCTACGTCAACCTCTAGTTACGCTTCAGACAGCGTAGTTAGGCATGCTTATTACTTATCTTGGAATTACCAATTACTTTATTCGATCAAATTTGTTCCAATCTATTTTTAACTCTGTGATACAAAATTTGTGCATTGAGTCAAAGGCTATCTATCACAAACTGTCTGTATGCCAGTGTACTTGAGTATCACTTAGCCGTCTGTCCTGTGTTCATTCGTGATCGTACAACTAGGTATTGTATTTGTCGCAAGTATCTAGTCATTTAACTATCGGCCTATCGTCCGCCTTTCGGTGTACAAATTGGGTTAGCATAGTATTATTTCATTACATTTTGTTCGAAGCTTTATCCTCTCCCATGTGTATCTTATGTTATTTGTTTTATCTGTTTTATATCACGGTCTCACGTTTGTGTTGCTGTGAAGTGTGGACACATCTCTACCGGGTCGTACGTTGTCTGTTTGTAAACACTAGTAAATGTTTACATTCACTCAGTGGTTCCTAACTCCTTTGGCGAACAACAAAAAAGAACAATAACGACCACAAATTAGTGTATGGTAGTGAAATAATAATAATAATCGGGGAAAAAGAACGGTACAACCAGAAAAAATCCTTTCAGTTAAAGAAGTTACGGTCACGATGCTCCGAATTCGTCCTTAAATTGTATGTCTTCGAGCACGTGGATTTTGTGATCTTAGATTTATTAATGTGTATGGGTGAACGCGGAATAACTGTACTCACTATGATAAAACTGTTCGTTTATCCGTAGTTAATATCAATCCTTGTTCGATTAAGACGTTGATGAAGGTGGTTTGCATTAGGGGATGACACCAGTCAGCTACAACGTAGGACTAGGCACATATATGCATCGGTCCAAGTTGCCATACCTCATTAGTACAACAAGATGAACACCGAATTCATAGAAGTAGTTAATTCAATGATGGTAATATATAAAAGAAAGATTGAATAGAAAAATATAGTACAGGAAGAAATGTATACAGCAATTTTAATCTCATGATTTAAGGGAGAAAAGAGTGTATACACCTACGCCATTTTGATCGATTCTGAGCAATGTCATAAAGAGTCTCCTACCATTGGTTACGATAGTCACGTGGACCCCAACCAAGTGGTCTGCATCTACCAACCTGGTTCAGACTAGAAGTTATTGACTTCAAGGACTGATGCAGTGTTTTAGTTTGGCCGCCCCCAACTTCCTTCCAACCATCCCCAACACTAGTCAGCATTGCGCGTCGTGGTAAACAGTGTTCAGGCACACGTAACACGTGACCCAACCATCTCAGTCGATAAAGATTTACGTTATCAACTAATTTGCCATCATTCCCTAATACCCTGCGTTTAACCTCACTATTACTTACCCAGTGATCCCAGCAGATGCGAGCAATATTTCTAGGGTATCTGTGGTCAAATATTAGTAGCTTACAAATATTTTCTACTCTTATTGGCTATGTTTCTCAACTGGCTGCCTATACCGTGGAAGGGTTCTTCTAGAGGTACCTGAAAAGGAAATTGGATTAAAGGTGGTCTTAGTGATCTGAGCGCTTGACCGCAGTGCTCAAGGGACAACTGCTTGTGGTCGGTCACACACGACGTTTTTGTAAGTGATTTTCGTGTCAGCTTCGTACTGGTTGAGACCTTACCGCCGGAGACGGATATCCGTGGGATAAGGCAAGGTGTGCATTTTAGGGTGGGCCTCTTATAACCCCATCCCTCCTTGTGGGAAGGCAGCATTGCTGTTATGCGGGTTCTCTGAAGGAAATACCTTACTGCCATCACACCTGCACAGTCAGCAGTACGACTTCGCTATCGGACCTTGCTGCTTTTAGTCTTACCGTTCTTCAGCCGACCTGTCTGGCACAGTAGGACCATGAGGAGTGATTATTCCGGCCAGTATAGTTCGATTGGTTCATCACGACAGCAAAGCCCGACCACCACGTCAAAGTAGCAGCAACGGTCGAGGTGACGACATCAGAGGGTAAGCCAATAATCAGGGATTACTAGACTGCGGTCTTGTCCCAATACGGAACAGCTCGACGGTGAACGCTTTTTATCGAATCCAAATGCTAATCTTTTTGTAAGTTTCGTATATACGTATATTGACAGCATAACGGTATTCGTGTCATAACAGGTCCTCATTACTAACGCTAATTTAAGGCTAAAATTGTAGATGTAGGGCATCGATGACTTAAAACAGCACATAGAATAAGTAGGTTAAAAAAGTGAATCGCGAAATCTTTTGCCGACAAGATTTGTTAACGTTGTTTGTTTTTGAATTTAAACTCGATGAGGATCTTAGTAAATGTAATATACAAACTGGCAGAAAAAGATTTATATCTGGGGATAAAGTCCCAAACGCTACTACCCGGATAACATTTGGGAAATTAAAAAGCAGCAAAACACGAGCAGTATAAAGCAAGCAAAGGAAAAAACGTCCATTGAAAAGATAAGATAATAGTAGTGAAATTAGCACAAGCTGTGCATGTATTCCTTCTCTTGTACTACGCAATCTGCAGTCCCTGAAAATGTTTAAACGCTGTTTTCACGATAATTGAACTCAAACTGACTATCGTAATTTTTCCTCCACACTTTTTGTAGAAGAAGGTTTATTGCAGCATATCTAAACTGTAATTATTCCTTGGGCTCAAACATTTTGCAATTTTATTTTCTTCGTTAAAGTATTATTGATTTTGCTCTGAATCTCTTCTAAAAATTTTCGATGTTTATGTTATGAATTTCTTGTCCCAGGTATTCCAATAAATCAACAACACCTTGTTTGGCAAAATTGCGAATTGGATAATCATCGTCGACTAAGAGATTACTCCATATCTGAGGGTTCAACATTGTGTCTAGTTTTAAGTCTTCGAAGTGGTCCACTTATTGAGCATCGGACGCCACCGCTACGTCTGGCAGCAAACCACCCATCAAAAACCACTGTACCACCCTTTACTTCAGTGTCCAGCTCTACCTGTGGCAGTAGTTTCGTGTATTCAAACCTCTTAACTCCAGTGATAAAACCGAGTATATTGCAATCGCAAAACACTGAAAATGGAGGACGTTCTGACTTGACTTTGGACAAATCAAAACAAACTGGTGCAGAATGGTACGAAATAGACGAAGCCAACACTGATAGTGTGTTACCAAGCGATAGTGCATTAGAATCACAACCTGATCTTTCGGTAGATGTTCGACCAGAATCCAGTAGTATTTCGTCTTCTGTAGCACAGAAAGCCATGGATGTTAGTTTCACAGATGCTTTTCAGAATTTTGTTAATAGCGACACTCCATTAAGGTAATTTTAATCACTATTATTTATGAAGCTTTTTTTAAAGTACTGTAAATTTTTCATGTTATCGACTCACAAAGTTAAATTGGTTTTTTTCTTGGAAATCAAATGTTATTTTATCATGAAATTTCTGCTCAGTTCTACAATACCAGTTGTTTACACTCGGTTTTTGATTGGTGAATTTCGAGAAATGTTATAAATCACTAGATTGGTAATGTATGTCTCGTTTCGTGTTTCAAAGTTGTTTCACGTGGCAAGCCATCAGAGGGGTGTGACATATTGCTCTGAACTAGTGTGTTTGGATTCTTCCCTTTTGCAATCATTCATGGTATTGAGTGTCTGTCGGGTTGATAATAACGAAAGCACTCCTAATTATGTTTGATACAAACAATATGAAGTGGAATTTATATTGTTCTTGGTTGCTTTTTTTTACTAAGATTATTATTCTCATACTTCAAAAACAGTACTTTCCCGCTAATTTTCCTTAGTACCGTGCGCGGAAATGACAATAGTCACGTTGCATCTTATAGTCCCCGTGATATTGTTTATTCTTACTTATGTTTTGTTCTATTTTTAAAAATGGAAAAAAATTGTATGGTATAGTATGGTATCAGAAAGACCCGAGTTCTGGATTCTGATTAGTTTCCGAATGCAATTTACTATCGGAACTGTATGACTATTGGCCATAAAAAGTTGAGCAGATAGTAGCTAATGATTTTGACCTGATACCACTAGGGTTCATAGAAGAATCTATCTCATAATAACTATATATGTTCGAATTTACCGAAATAGTAGTGAACGTTATGCTGCCGAAGTTCTACCTTATTATTATAATAGTTATACAAATTCTTGTTATCCAGTCCATACCAATCGTTTATTGTTTACTTGTTTTTGGCCTAGTTCTGGGTTAAGAGAGCAGAATTCAAACAACATTGGTCAAAGTCCTTCAAATTTAGAAGTGGTCGTTGGAATAAGCCCACTGAATGGAAACATTACGGAAACTACTTATATTTCCGAGAGAAATCGAAGTTTATCCTCTCCTGAAAAAGAAACCTTAAATGCCTTAACTGAACAACCAAGTGTCCCGATAGCTGTAGCAGTTAACAATCATTCAAACGTTCCTGAATCCTCGAATTCGTCTCCATTTTCACCGTCAGTTCATTATTCTGAATCCTCTTCTGCATTAAATCAACAAAATCATCCATCTATTTGGGTTTCATGTGATACTCATATTCCTCCTCCTTTTCACAAACAGGATCGGGAATCGAAAACGTCGACCGCCAGTGATTTTGGAGAATATAAATTGAACATTAAAAGAATGTACAAAGAAAATCAGGTAAATGGTGTTGGCCATCTTGATAATTGTAGCAATACGGAAACAACTAATTCCACATCAGCGAATATCCTTGCTAGTCTATTGGCTAAGGTTATTCCCAATCGAACATCTTTTCGCTGCTGTGATGGACCGCGTTGTCCACATCAATCGCACAGAGGATTTTCTCCCTTACTGGAAGAAAGTGAAGAACAAAATTCCTCAATACGTTTCTCATTTTTAGACAGTGAATGGTTCGACAAAGAGCTTGACTCGGTTGCTTCTATTAATTTTGAAACGGATACTGATCAGGATGACGACAGTCCACCGCTCGTAACTACTGGCTATCAATCATACTCCTTCTGTAATTGTGGATTTAATCATTCGCACTCTATTAGTTGCGAAGCTTTGGAGACTGCAATCAGTAGTATCGTTCAAGCCGAAGTTTTTGTCCGGCTTCAAGAGTGTGACGAGCTTGCAGAAAAAGTAGAACGTCTGAAGACTCAAATGAAAAGCGTTCGTCTGAGGAAGCAAAACTGGTATCAAAATACACAAAATACTAAATATTCTATGTGTAAAGAAGAAACGTCAGCTGAAGATCAGTATCATGGTATGCCTCCTCGATTCTGTTAATCTAAAATGCCTAATTGTTAACTTCCGTTTTGAGTAAACCGTATAAGTTTAGACAGTAGAAAATATGTGTTGTTTTACGGTTATCATTCAAGTGAGTTCCCTTGGGAGTTTTTACGATATATCTGGATTGATAACGAATAGTAAGCAAATTTAAATTGCTTTGTAAATTAGATGTTTTCCTACTAAGCTCTAAATTATTACATGTAGTGTGATCACTAACCACTCTATTAAGACTGATTATATTTTCTGTTAAGTTTTTGTAGATTACTGGCTTTTAGTGTAAATAGTTTGTTCCTCGCATTCATCATCAGATTTCCAAACTCGTGGTAACATGGTGTTAATTGCTAATTGGTTAATTTCAACTTAACTACTAGTTCACAACTTCTACATGTTCTGTTATGTGATAAGTGTAATCTCAATTGCTGTTTCCACAGCCTAAACCAAGTACTATAGTTCTCAGTTTTACATGAATTTTCCTAATCGTTTGAACGGTCTACTTTTTCCTACTGTCTTAGACATTGCCAATTGGGGAAAAAATTCCGAGCATGTTAATGAAATCGCTGCTAATTCCTGTGATTTTCCCTGGACGAACTCACAAATCAACAGAAATCATCTGTCAAATCTACATACTTCGTCACTGAACTGTTTGAAAGATGAATCTGATTTCCCAAAGTACACTTTCAATAGGTGTTTTGCACTTAATTTTGCGTTTTCATAATTTATTTCCTTTTCTGTTTTCACAGTCAGTTTATATTGATTTTGATAAAGCACGAATCGTTAATTTTTATAATAATATGGAACTCGGTTAGTTGAATTTCTTTAGCTAGGACCCGCCTATAAAGATGAAGTCCAGCTGATTGAGTTAAAGTCGGCAAAATTAGTTGAAATCAATAACTTTATGATTTAGTATTTGGTCGATAAATTACACGGTGTGTAATTATTAAGGTGATCATTTGTAACGTAGATTTTCGTGCTGATAAATGGCGTTTAATCATAAAAATACTGTGTCCTATAGCACCGATAATTTTTATACTACTTACGTCTGCGAAATTATTGGTCTACGGGACAAGTAAGGTATATTTAGCCTGTAATCCCCTTAAGCGAATTATTGTTTCTGATAAAATTCCACTGAGAGCCGTCCATTAATCACAATTGTCCCAGTATTCATCTTTTTATGTTAATTTCTAGAAGGTAACTTTTTGCGAGTTTCTCACTTATTTGTTCAATGTACAAAACATATTACACGATGAAGCTTTTAGGAAAGTACAATAACTAAACATAGAGCATAAATCTGGAGGAATTAACAACCAAGTATTATTCTCTACGGACAAGATATCAGTTCTTCTGAGTGTTCATACGCACTACTGGGTAATAATGATCAAGGCATTTAAGTTACTGGGATTTAAGCTTCTTTTTCTTAATGTTGTGACAAGCTGACAGACTTAGAACTTAAATTTACGAGACTTTATACTGACAATGTGTTATCTTCATTTAGACCAAACATTTCAATTGGACTCGTTCATAGGTACAGGCTACCTGGTTGGCGTCCGCGTGATTATTGTGAGCATCAGTTAAAGACTGAATGACATGACTCAAAATCGTTCGAAATCGTGCAGTTGTATCCGTTCTTTGTCTTCTCCCAAACCCTGAGTTTCTAAATCCTCAACATTTCATTTCACTGGTTTGTATTTTCTTTTGGAGTCGTATCTTCGATGCCTAATCTTTCATATTACGACTGATACTGTCTGTGGTGTAGTAGCGTGTCAGAAAGACCCCAGTCCTGGATTCTGATTATGATTGCCCCCAAATGCCCTGGTACGGCCGAGAGTGGGGAGAGTCCGCTCTCCCTCTCGAAATGCTCTCACATGGCTACGCGTACATAGCCTCCGCCAGGGAAGTTCTACTCACTGACTTCTCGTGGTGGGGGTGTTGTTTACAAAAATGAGAGGACGAAAAGCGAATGTCCGGCGCTTTAACCGGATCCCAAACCAATGGTGCACATGGGCTCCAGTACCCTGCGGGAACAAATGACGTATGAACCAATCGTTGGTCACAGGCTTCCGTGGGACTGCATCTCCTCACGATGCTCCACTGCCTTGTGGGTCAGACCTTTAGATGAAAGGCTCGGAAAGTGGCCCCCTTAAGAAAACCACCTGCTTCGGTCTGGGCACCCGGGCAGTATCACAGCCCACACACAAATGTGATGAAATGTCGATATTTATGGAAAATACTTGTCTTGCTTCGATCAGCAATCAAACGATTCACATTATTATTGTTATTTTTATTATTTACTACGTCATTTATTCACTCTCTTTTATTCCCACTTTATGTATCCTTATTTTTCGACTTATACAGCAGCTCGCCTACGGTGGAAACTCGGTTCTATCTAAACGTTCTCGAGTCACAAGGCAGTGGCCTGGCTGAAAATTGTATGCTACCACCAAATACGAATACTGAAGCAGTTTTTCTGAAACCACGTGCACCATTCAAACTTATGCAGGTTGGACAACAGATAGGGCTGGCTATGTCTTTCTAAAGTCTTAATATCGACGCTGACAAAATCCAATCTTCCGATCTCGAATGACATTGCAAGCATGTTCGGGATGCGACGCTTTCTCTTTAAATGCGGAATTTCGCCTCGGTACTAGTCTGTGTAAACTCTTGAACTAATGATAAAAAGTGAGCTAATCAGCCACGTCCAACACTTTAATTATTTTAAAAGTCTCACCAATCCTGATAGGTTTGAGGCATGGTGAAATGTCGATTTGATTTTGCCAATTTGCGTTACCTGGGACTTTGGCGAAATGCCCGTTTCGCAACCAAAGAATGAGCCTACTGTGCACCAGTTTGATCTATTCTTTAAAGGTGCGAAACATGACTAATCAGAATAGGATATATTCAGGTTACTAGTATCAAATCATAGATGTTACCTGAGCATCGCTCGTGTATTTTGGGACCACCGAGTCGGCAATGTTGATATTAGGCTCAGGGTTCTGGGTAAAGACGGCAAATTAATTGGTGAGGTAGCCTACCTTCATCAACTGAAGTGACTGGGGTATGTGGCACGTATACCCAACCAGCACCCACCTTGACAAGCTTTGTTGTCTGGTGTAGAAGTAGGCTGCAATAAAATTGAGGGCAACCAAACCCGGACATGCCGTCAGTCCATGAAGTCACAGATAATCGAACTGTGCGATGTAGGTGGTTGTAAACGACCTGGCTGGGGTCCGAGCGACTATCGCAACCAATGGTTAGAAACTGTGAATGACATGGCTTAGAACCGTTTGGACCAATTCAGATGGTTACTCTCTGTCTCCCTTAGAACCTGAAATCTCCTTGTGTCCTTTTTTATACATAACCTTTCCTAATGTCACTGATCCTGTCACTAGTTCTACTCTGATAATTATCTTGGTTACTTTACCTCGCTGTGGTAATGCGGTAAGGCAACTTGAACCAAGAAACATATTTGCCCGGTTCTACGTTGTGGATGGCTCACTGACTATTTTTATCAATTGTTGGTTTAACACGAACGGTTTTTGATCGTTTTAGGCTTTTTTCAATGCCAGAACTTGTCCTGTTTATTTATCACGAAATGTTCCTGTTATGTCCTATGGCCCGTTAAATAGCACGTGACAAAATCGCCAGTCAGCACACCGACTTCTATGACCTTGTCTTTGTGCTAAACTAATGATGCGTTAACCAACACGAACAGCTTTGAGTCAACTCCATGTCCTTATTGGTCCTCTGAATGGTATCTTATCGCCCAGCCCGTTCAGTCCAGAACACAAATATCAGCCTTCGCTATATGAATCGTATATTTCAGACATACGTGATTTATATACAGACAGACCAGATTGCATCACACCATAAAATGAATAATAATAATAAGATCAAGCTAAGAGTGGCGGCGAGTATAGGATACTGTGACCAAGAAATTGAGAATAAGTTAAGGATCGTAAATCATATAACAGCAGCTAATAGGTCAAATGAAAGTTTATGATAAAAACAATACGAACATATATAGTCTAGTTGTTTAGTAATTATCCGATAAGAACGTACGTAATAATAGTCCATAAATAACTCATAGCACTTACTATTCGTCTGTTATTCGTTCGGACATAACAGTTTTCACTCATATGCTGTAACAAATTAATGTATGGATAATCCACGTAGTTTATTCAGGTGTTTATCTTTCAGTATATGTACATAATATACCACTATATTTTCGGTACAGATTTTGAATTGTATGTTTCATAACAGGTCGCCTCAGACTGACACCAGGGGTCGAATTCGTCAGCGTCGCTATGCTACTATCACACCTCCTGATGTTAACTGCCTCATCAGAACAGCTGATTCACAGTGTAGAGGTTCTGAATCGACTACTAACATTTTACCCTCCCTTTTCTATCCAGGATGCACTTCACAAAGTTCGGAGGGTAGTATGTTTGAAAACTCCTTGTCTCTGAGGTCTCATCAACATAAAAATCAGTTTTTGTCTCCTGATAAAAACCTCACAACCCCAGTGACCACTTTGTCATACAATGGACCAACGTTATGTAGTGATTCTGTCAGTCAAACCCGACAACATTCAATGAATTCTTTACAAGTTAGTAAATTGACAAGACTTGGAAGTTCCAGTCGTTTTAGTTCAAACAGCAACCGTTCGACTCCTACGAAAACTTCATCCTCCGTTCCATTCTTGCCGAAGTTGGGGAGCTCAGTATCGACAGGTACTTTTTACTCGTGTGCATATAATTTTACCTTATTCAGTTGTGTAACAAATCTCTCAAATTCATTGAGACATCTTCAAACTAAGTTTACATCCATATATGGTTAGAAGAAATGTGTTTTCTTTTTAATATTGACATTTACCCCATGAATCATGTGTAATGTTACCTCGGAATTATGTCCTGGGACAAAAATCACTTTCATTTGCATTCTACTTTGTAGTGAGCATGGAAAAAAGGTTTTTTGGTAGTATGTGCTCCATAACACTGGTGTTTATAGCAAACTCTTCCAGAAAATGTACTAGGAAACATAGATCCTTGTTTGACTAGTTTTGTGCTGCTAACTCGGTCTTGTAACAAGCCCTAGTATTTCACCACATGGCACTATATATATATTCATATGTATAAGACCTATGTAGAGCAAGTCATCTTCCTAGGTGTTAATGAAATTTTCCCATGAAGATTTGAAAACTGTTTGCAGCAGAAGATATTCGAAGTCAGTTTAAAGATGAAGGGGTTATGTTCAAGGTTAAACCAACTAAGCAGTTAGTTAACCGTGTATTAATGTTCATCCTAAAATAGCTAGACACAAATTTCGACCTTAATTAAAAATATCGGTAACATCTGCTAGTGACCTAAGTCGGAAGATTGAAAAGAGTCGATGAATTTAGGATTCTTCTAAACTAACGACTACTCGGAAACTCAGCTTGGCAGGATATAATAGCTTAATATCCACGTTATGATCGGGATAAGTGATGGCCAATAAAAGTGGAGGTGGAAGAGGAAGTGGCGTTCGTTAGCATCAGATAACTGTTTAGACTGGCTAAAGAAACTTGGATTATAAAGTCAGATGTTAACAAAGCTGAATCTAGAATAGATTTAATCGTGATGTACTATTAGACTAGAAGGTAGAAACTTGGGGGAGAATGCCGTGAGAAATACTGACCTTCAGCTACTTTTCAGTCATTCACTTCTTACTGACGGCGTAAATGAGAGGTCAATATTCAGTCCCCGAATCATCGACCACTGTATGCAAAAGAGTTATGTTCACTCATTCATTCTTCAAAAGCGTTAGCACCACTCCTAATTTTATAGATTATAAGTTCTAATTATTATCTGATTCTTTACATTCTTCGTTGTAAAGTAGACGGTTGATTTTTTATTCAATGTGTAAATTCTTGTTTTCTATTACCTCTAAACTATCATATAACTTTCTTTTATTACTTTGCTAAATGATGCAACAACCCATTTCATTCATTACTTGAAAAAATTTTGATAACTTTATCTACTCTGAAATAAAAACCTTCCTTTTTATAGACTTATATTCAATACTTGATGATCCTTGATTACTTTATTAACCTATGCAACCACTTTATTTCTCTAGACCCTTACATCCGACACTTGGACAAGTTTTACTATCTTCGATAATTTTGCAGCACTTCTCCATCTTACTATAGACTACTAAATGTAAGAAATTACATGTAAATACAATTATACAACTTAAGGGCGTAATATCATCGAAAAGAAAATTCTCTTCTCTGAGTAGTCTTCATTCTCCCTAAAAATATGCAACACATGATATTTCACTGTTGTGTGGTAATTTGTTTCCTTTTTTGTGTTTCTAAGCAAACACTTATCCTAAGGATCCAGTTTTCGGCGTGCTTTCTCATGTGTTGCAAGATTGTTATTTTTTGGTCTTTCACGAAGTTTAGGAATCTGCTTTCCCATGATGCCCATGAAACCGAAAAACCTTAAGATGAGTGTTGTCAAAAAGTCGACCATATCTCCCTATTCATAACTATGAAAAACATTTCCTAATCCCACAAAATGATCTGTTAACCATTTTCTGTCCTATGCTCCATTGGGAGTAACAGGCGTAAGTAAGTAAATTACTTGGGTATCAGCTACATTTTGCTTTGTGTGAGTTATAACTCTGAACGCATAATAATCTAACCACATATTCGCTAAAATTAATGGTCAAAGGAACTATGGTTTGTTCAATTATCTAATCTACATTAGTTTATCGATGTTTTATTTTATGGTTTGTAGTATTTACAAGGTTTTAGTATGAAGATGAAATTTCGAACCAATTTTAACATCTAGAATTCCTTTAAATATTTAGGTCACCTGGCCACAACTATTCCACCACGATTACCTTCAAGAGGGGGAAGTCGACTGAATACTCCTGTCCATTTCAGCAAACCAAACGATTGTGATGAGAAATTATTGAATCCCACTCCTCCACACTATATTTCGACTGTTTTGATTGAAGCATCTCACCTGCCTTCATCCCTTAATTCCATTAGACGCAAACGATGTTCTATGTGCTCGCGGAAGATAGGGATTACAAACAGCTACACATGTCGGTATGTTCATTTCGTTGTCCTGTGACTTTTTATGAAACTAATTTTGGTATAATCCACTTTTATTTTTTATTGTACTGCTTCGATTTGAATGGATTTAGTTGTGTTCACTAGGCATAGAACTGGTACCCATCTCATTCTATCCTCTTTATAACACACAGCTGTAAACTGGAGCAAATAATCTTATTTGATTTGATTCTTACGTTAACCTTGGTAGCACATCATCCAAACATATTAGTATTGTTGATAAATATTTATAGTATAAATAGTATTTTCCCAGCGAATCCTCAATTATCACAACTTTTAACTTTGATCTTAAGTAAACTTTGTTTTTTTGAAGATTATTTACCAAGGATCCACCTAAGGGAGTTGAGAAAACCTGATTCCAAACCAGTGGTGCACATGAGCTTCAGGGTCCTCAGGGAGCAAATGGTGTATTAACCTTTTGTTGACCACTGTCTACCATGCGACTGCACTTCTTAACGTTGCTCCATTGCTGTGTGGATCAGCCAGCCCCTTAGATCAAAAGTTTGCTTCGTTTTGAATGCCCAGACAGTATCCCAGCCCTCACACAAATCAAATGATGAATCCTATTGGAAAAATTATTCTCACTTCAATTCTCATTCAGATTAATCACTTCACAATAATTTGATAACGTGCGTTTTTTTATATTACGTCACTTATCTGCTCCCTTATATTCTCATATTGGTATTTTATTTTTCAACGTACACAACTGCTCGCCTATGGTGAAAAATCTGTCCTGTCTAAACGATCTCAAGTCACTGACTGGTCAAAAGTTGAAAGCTACCACTGACTACGAATACTGAACCAGTCCTTCTGAGACCACATATACCATTGAAACTGGCATCATTTATCGTTCACGCACTAATGCAGATCGGAAAACAAACAGGGTTCACTATATCTTAAGAAAGTCGCAAAAGCGATGTCTGTTGTCTTTCCAAGACCCGTATTCAAGACTAGTGAACTACTGCGAATTCGCTCTCCATCTATCGCTTCGAAAATCATGTTTCACGTGCGTTTATCTGGGGACCCTGTGGCATCTTCGTCTCGTTTTGCTGGCATTGGTGTCGCATTAAGTCAGGTGAAAGTGAAACTATCTGTGAAGCTAACGGAAGGCCAATCAATAACATGTACAGACGTCTTGAATGATGGAAAAAATTTTCTCGAGGGATAATCACGGTGAAATCGATCAGACTGTCCTACCCTCCATGGCTGACGATGACTGACCCACATAATAAGGCGGAGGTCCATAAGGAACTCCAACTCCCGAAGCACCACAAATCACCCGTACCATATAACTTACTTCTGACCACCATCTAGTTAAGGAACTGAGTTTCTAACAAAGGTTTGGGAGTTAGCGAGTGTTCCAACATCCTGGAACGAGTCGGAAGTTGTCCCTACTTTTAAAAAAGGTTCACGTCGTTCCTGTAACAACTATCGGGGGATAAGTCTACTTCCGATTGCGTCCAAGCTATTGGCTTCCGTCATACTTCGTAGGCTGTTCAAAACCAGAGAATGATTGACTCGCGAGGAGCAGGCTGGTTTTCGTTCTGGTCGAGGATGTATTGGTCATATCTTCACCCTCCGTCAAATTTTAGAACACTGTCATGCTTATAAAAGGCCAACAATCGTAGTGTTTCTTGACACCAGGGCTGCCTTTGATTCGTTGGACAGGACTGTTCTCTGGGATTGTCTATTGAAGAAGCGTGTGCCTGAGAAGTTTATTAACATCCTAAAAGCCCTATATACTAACACCTCAGGTAGAGTGAGGGCATACAACCACATCTCTCCATTGTTCCATTCGAGCAGTGGGGTTAGGCAGAGTTGCCCAATCTCACCATCCCTTACCAACTTTGCCATCGACGACGTTCTGGAAACAGCTCTGATGGATGTAAGTAATGGTGGTGTGGATCTGTTGCCTTGAGAAAGACTTCTTGACCTTGAGCATGTGGATAATGTTATCTTGCTGTGCGATGATACCCAAGGCATGCAATCCGCACTTAACCAGTTGGCAATGAGTGTCCTTAGGTATGGTATGTGCTTTGCATCTTCGGAGTGCAAAGTACTTTTGCAGGACCGACAGGACCCTGATCCTGCACTCACACTGGGTAGTGATCAGATAGAAGTAGTCGAGAAGTTCGTGTATCTAGGTAGCTGCATAAGTGCTAGTGGTAGCGTGAGTGCTGAGATCAATGCACGAATAGTGAAAGCCAGAGCGGCTTATGCTAATCTGAGGTATGGCAACCTGGACCGATGCACATATGTGCCTGGTCCTACGTTGTAGCTGACTGACTGACTGACTTATGCTAATCTGGGCCACCATTGGTGCCTTCGTGATGTCAATGTGGTTGTAAAAGGTCGGATCTACAATGCGTCGTTGAGGGCAGTTCTGCTCTATGCTTGTGAAACCTGGGCTCTCCGAGTTGACGTTAGACGACTCTCTGTGTTCGATCATCGTTGCCTCCGAAGGATTGCTGACATCCAGTTGCAACACCATGTTAGTAATGCAACCTCATTGTTGCTCTGTGACATATGTGTATTTGTTGCCCCCTTGTATAAATGTGTATGTTCAAATAAATAAATAGATAAATGTGCTTCACACTTTTGAGAATATCTAATAATGTCTCTGTTGAATTCTGGTTTAATAAATGTTGTTATTACCTTATCTTCCGAGAATCGCTCTTTTACGCTTATGTACTAGTTTGGTGCGTATTGTTATTACGGACAGATTAAAGTAGGTTATATCAGGAATAATAAGATTACGCCATAATTGAGTTATACATTAGTATATGTATGACTACGCAGTTAACATTCACTCTCAGATAATACTTTCCTTATGGTACTCAGCCATGTATGCATAGAGTTCCAGGTAACTTATATTGTTTGACTCTCCTGGATGATTCATTTTCTGCGTATGTGTATTCTGTTTAAACGCCAACATATATGGATATTCGTCATTTTATTAGACTTATACTTGTTTAAGAGATAGATAAAACAACTGATTTCTTCTTTTTAATCTCTTTCCATGTAGTTGTGATCGGAGTTTCTGTTCTGTACATCGTTACGCTGAGGTTCATGCTTGTCAGTACGATTATAAAGCAGAAGCACGTCGTTATATAATTGAATCCAATCCCGTCATAACTACACCCAAATTACCGAAAATCTAAGAAAAGTGTTTTTGGTCATAAATGTTTCGGTTCAGAGAAGCCTGTGATTAATTATTAGTTCTTTGTATGCTTGTAACTATTCAAATCATAAATATTAGTGGATTATAAAATGATGATTTTTGCTACTATTATTTGACAATTCATTATTTCAGAATATCAAACTTCATTTTGTTTTTCGGTTATATTTTTAAATTGTAATCATTATCTCATAGTACGTTTGCAACTTAGCACAATAAAAACAATTCTTATCAAAGAAGTTCAGTTTATATTTTGTAATGTCTTAGAATCCGTATAAACATATGCATAAACGCTGTTAATATCGAAAAAATCTTCAAAAAAATGTTGTAATCAGGTGTTTAGTTTTCGCATTTTGGTCATATTAACATATTCTCATTAAATACTACCCATTTTCTCGGTGAAACAGCAGCTTGTGTATATTCTGTTTTGATTTCTTTATTTTCCCTCCAAGTTCGGTAAAAAGACATTTTGGCCTCATTTTCATCATTTATTGCCTACTATCCTTACTTCTCCGTGCCAGAATATTGTTGTTTGTCTTTCCCCTTCCTCACTCATCAGCTGTTACTATAGTTGTTTGTGTTATTACAATTTTGATTGTAAAATGTGCTTCTTTTCCAAATATATCCCTTCATGTGGTATGATAAAGTTGAATATTCTTAAACTTCGTCTCTTTTTCGGTTTATTTCAATTCTGGTTGGCTTGCGTAAATGCTCTCATGTGGGGGATCCACCGTAATCTACATATTCATTTTTGTTTAATACGTATGCATTCTTAAGTTGTTTTGCATTTTATTCTCCCTGAGGATTGCATTTTCATTTATACGTTGTTAGATATTCAAGTTCTAAAGTGTTACTGAATTGGTGTTTTTATTCAGTTACTTTCAAGTAGAGTTTACAAACTGACAGTCGTTGTGGGGTCCACTTCTTATACCAGATTGTCTTTTAAATCGAAATGTCAGCATCAAACGCTGGAATTTGTTCAGTGGTTTAGTAAAGTTGCTCGGTTGGTGTTTTATCTTATAACTTCAACAACGACAATCCCCCCACTTACGTTACTGTATTTTCTCAGTCTCCATAAGTCGTGAAATTTATTCTTTTTAAGACCTTCGATTTGAACAGCAGATGGGAAGGCAGGGACTTCATCATTTTGATTTATTCGTTCATACAAGTAAATTTCAACTCGATGACCTACGTGATTGACATTAAGGAGTAATTAATATTATATTAACTGCTGATCTTTTCTCCGCTAATATGTTTAGCTAAGGCTGTGTGATAAACTCTGAATTACGGCTTCCCGTCTTTCAGAGAACACTAAAAGTAGAAAAGAGGAGAATATGATCATAAATCATATTGCATTTCGTAATGACGTTTCGAATTTTTGTTCTCAAAGTTTGTAAAGATATCAACTTAATTGACAAATTTCGCTTAATAAATACAGTTGACAAGTTATGAGTAAGATCACTGATTGCGCCAGTCTATAAGAAAGGGCAAGAGTCCTCTTGTGACAATCACGGAGGAATCAGTTTGTCTAAAATATAGGCTCCAATAATAATTCGACGCCTAACCAAAGCTCGTGAAGAACAGAATAGAGAAAACCAGGCTGGACGTGGCTGCATAGACCAAATATTCACACTACGTCAGGTTCTAGAACACAGACACCCCACAATGGTAGTATTTCGCGACCTTAAGGCGGCATTCGAATCTGTTGATCGTGAGGTTCTATGGCAGTGTTTGTCACTGAAAGGAGTACCAAAGAAGTACATTGACCTTATACAGGCTCTCTACTCGAACACAACTGGTAGGGTGAGAGCTTATGGCGAACTGTCATCAGAATTGTTTACCTCAAGTGGTGTTCGTCAGGTCTGTCCACTCTCTCCATTCTTGTTCAACTTTGTCGTCGATGTACTTTTAGAGATGACACTTTCCTCGTCTAGATTTCCAGGGGTTGAACTTCTACAGGGTGATTCACTTTTTGACACTGACAAGTGGAATGAGCCATGCTGGGAGGTGCAGATTACCTAGTTTTGGACCGCGAAATGATAGAAACCGATGGTTAGATACCCTGAATGACATGGCTCAAAATCGTTTGCAATGGCGCAGGTGCATACACTGTTTGTGTTCTCCCAAATGCTAATCTTCTGAATTCTTCATGTCCCTTTCTTTTTTCTCTTCCCAAATTTATTTCACTGGGTTATAGTCCTTGAATAACATCTTCAAACCCTAAATTTTCTGATTACAGCTTATAATCTTACTACACCTAGCACTACGGGATTTGAATCGACAACTGCATCTCTGTGCTAATGTGGTATGGCAACTCGAACTGATGTACGTACGTACGAAGTTCTATGTTGTTGCTGACTGATGAGTGAATGTTATAAAAACATATTAAAACTGAAAAGTTGAAAAAAATGAAGGCTGAGTAGACCTATGTTAATGCGACCAGTCTTGAGCAATACCACTTAAGTTCCCCGACCATTATTTATGAATCATTACATTCGTAGACTGTTTCCATTACCTCGTTCAGTCGATCCGTAGGCTTCTTTCTATTTTTTCCTGATCTCGTTTCTATCGTGGGTCGGTGTAAGTAGTGAGTAGACATACGTAGTGCGTCCCGGACATAGACGTTTTACAAGATATTTACTATTTTCACTGAATACGTACGCCTAAGCTCGGAATTTCTCATTTTATAACGAAAGAGTTGGGAAATATGTGTTAGCAAATCCATTTATCTTCAAGCGTATGGTCTTGTTATTCTCCGTCGTTTTAGTTTTGTTTTCACTTGAATAATTTATATAATTGAGGTATTATTGCGTTCCTATGATTATACAACCAAACACTTCTGTATAAAAATTACCCTAATCTGGTTTATGGGGTAGAATAGAGATTTCTTTGGTGGGTTCCATGTCCCCTTAACTTCCTCATGAACGTAATTCTAACGGTAATTTAACCTAATTTATTCCTCTAGACATGACTCCGCGAAGAAAATATTTAAATTAACAAATTTATTAAATGCTCTTTCAAATCCATATTGATTCTCTGATGTTACTACATCTTGGAAACATATCTGAAGATGTCATGAAGCATTTACCGGTATCATTGGTTACTGTAATCAGCAAATTGCGCGACATAAATATAAGATATACGCTACCAATAGATACCTAACAGTTAAGTGAAATCCTTATTTGAAACTGGAATTAGAACATTATTTGTAAATTGCCTTATTCTATTAAATAAAGTATTAGGTGTAAGCTAATGTCAAACTGATGGTTGCATATCTTTTGACTGCATAAATTTGATTTGACGAGAAGTGAGATCGCGGCTTGAGCTGTAAACTTTTACGTAAACTATATATTGATTTATAGATAACCGCTCATTTATCTTATCTGGTTTCGTCTGTCATGTTTCTAATGATATGTGAGCTAGAAGGTAGCTTGGTAGTCAGGTTTTATCTTTGTGGAGTGATGAATGACTAAAAGCACTCACTCCACAACTAGTTACTTTTAAGTAAGATACAAATGGCATTCATAGTAAAATGATATGATTCTATTTGTTTCGCATATTGTCCTTGCTTTCTCACAACTGGAACAATAGTATCAGTTGTTCGTAGAAAGGATGTACACACTTTTTCAAATCAAGTTTAGTATCAATGCAGATATAAAGTAGGATGAGACGACAGATTACTTGTTTAGATAAGTATGTAGATATTTTGGGAATTGAAACTTAGTTGAAGTAATTAAATCTGTCGTTCTTAGATTGTAACTAGTTGAGGAACGTTTACAAATTGATTGAATGCTTGTCATTTTATTTCTTTCGCCTATCTTCCTTACTGAAAATTATAAAAAAAATCACGAGTTGTATAGAACCTATAATTTCAAAAATATTCGATGGTATTTATTTTTGTGTTTTATATGAATGGGTGCCTTTGACAGAAAATTTCATTTGCTAAACATTTTTTTAATTTTTTGACATCTCATTATTTAAGAACACAGTGTCAATAATGAGTTTGTTGAGTAATCATCAACTTTGCATACTTTAAGTCAACTACATACATTCAACATTCTTTCATTTATAATTCCTATTTATATTTGTCTCTTTATTCATAAGTAACTGCTGTTAATATGTGACCATTTAACAAAAACTCTAAATTGCTCTATTGGTTATTATGTAATCATTCAGTTTTATAGCAATTTATTATAACTGAAGTTTTTAATAAAATTTATGTAGATGATTATCATCATATCCGTATAATCCTTTGAGTTATGCTCGTAATCACTCACTGTTATTTTTACAGATAATCATAAGCTTATAAACACTACTAGATAAGTCATCATAACTTATTTGGTATTGAATTTATACTCATCTTGAAATATTCTATTAGAATTTAAGCTGAATGAAAAGGAGTAGTTTTCTACTGAAGTTTTTATTTATTTTTTAACATAGGCCAGGTCACTTATTCTTATCAAGTTTTATCAAACTCATGCCAAATATGTTAGTAGTTATCAGTTGACTTAATAACAACCTATGGTACAGGTAGAGATTTTACTTTATTAGTCAGATTCAGCACCCAATACTGTCATCAGGTAGACAAAAGTGAGACACACTTAACCTCTTAATTTTCGTAGATTGTATGTTGTTTAACTAGCCACCAAACTACTTAGTCTAAAAAATGTATGAAATAATTAAATGGAAGTACGTATTTGTAGTTCACGAAAACCGGTCATTTACACACTGTAACTATTTGGTTAAATAGAGAAATTCCATGTTATGAGCAGTAGCATATATCGTCAAACGCAACTGCGTTTATTCAATCAAGGTATCATTAAATTTGGCAGTGGAACAAGAATATTTCACTTTTCTAATTAGTGTAACTGGATATTATTATTAACTATATCACTTGTTGATATGATGAGGTTTCACTCATTGTTACTTTGGAAAATTGTATACACATAGCTCCCTTTATTATTCTTAAAGAGAGCAAGAACAAAGATTAGTGCAGAATAATATGAATTCATTTTATTTCGTTAGGTTCTTATCGGCTGCTTACAACCTAAAATATTTGAAAATCAACGTTATTACAGATATTAACATACTTATAAATGCGAGGGTGATTAAAGATGAATATATGCATCATGATACAACGAAGACTCCAATAGAGTTAATAAGGTCATAGTAAATTTTTGTTTCAGATGAATAAATTTTGGAAGGGAAAGTCCCAGATCATTGAAATAGTGATTAGAACTCATGGAGTTAACAAACATTAGATGATTGTTTAATGACGCAACTGAAAATAGATTAATGGTATGGAATGATGTTCACAGATGTTGCTCAACAAAACCGTTTCCCGGTACATCATCATGTATTTTCAACAAGCCACACTATGAGCTAAAACGTTTATGTTTTTCTTGAACTTAAGCATGCTAATTGATGTTTTAAGCTTGTAAACTATTAGTTACCTTACAGCCAAACTACTAATCAAACAAACAACACGTTCAATATCTCAGTCAAAAGTCAACAAGTACCCTTTTCATGTTACCGACAGCTGTATCATTAATTTTATATATACCTGCCAAGCAACTACATTTATCGAACATAAAGAATAGCACATATTAGATTTTCCGAAAAAGACCCAGAACTCCTTTGGAATTGTTAGTTTCTTACAGGTATTCCTACGCAGTTCTTGAAATACTTATTTACAATATCTAAACACAGGTGTTATAATGTCTATCATCTTTATGACAGACCCGTATTTTTTAACGAAATATCTAGTCTCTAAATGACATCAACGTGTCGTTATACTTCTAGAGTGTTGTTTTGGTTTTTTTCTCAGGAACGTTATGCGTCTACCTGGGTCCAACTTGATTGGTTAATATAAGAAAGTACAATACAACCACTCCTCCAGTTGGTCATAGTGATTTCTAATATTGTGGTTGAGTTAGTAAAATTGCTTGAGTATGATGTGGAAACAACCAATATCACTGGCGCTGTGTACTAAGTAACTTATGACCAGTGGTATCTAGGAATTTAGGTTCAGCAAAGACCAGAAATGTGTAAAGTGAATCATCGTTTTCAATTCCCCGAGTAAAATATAGTCACGCTATCTAGGCAACTTGGATGATTCTAAACAGTAACCTTTGAAGTGATATAAAACTTTTAGAGTA